TAGTAGTATAGTGGGCACTATGGCCCGTCATAACAAACCCCCACCACCGACCCGTCTGGCGCCGAGTCTTATCTTATCTTTCCCCCACCACCGGCGTCTGGTTTTTCCGAGTGTGGGTGTAGGGGGAGAGGGTGTTGGGGAAAAAAAAATGGCGACTGGCCCCGAAAGGTGGGGATGAGAATTTTTTATTTTTTTTATTTTTTCTGATTTCCTCTGGATTTGAACCTGGGGCCTTCGTGTTTCCGAGCAGGGTCCTAGTATGTTGAGCTAAACGAGATCTTACTAGTCTAAGGATTAGATGAGGTATTTAAGCTAAAGTTGCGTAGGGTACGGTATGGGGGTACGGGTATACGTATGGCAAGGATAGCTCGTCGAATCAAATGGTCGATATTGGACGGGGTGGGGTAAAAACAGTTAGGGTATACGTATGGCAAGGATAGCTCGTCGAATCAAATGGTCGATATTAGACGGGGTGGGGTAAAAACATTTTGACCAAGAAAAGCGTCATGCGGTCGACCGGGGATCGGTGGCAGGTAGTAACTGACAATGCCGTAGGGTAATAAAAAAAGAACACGCAAATATTTGTACTGGCGAGCATTCCGACTCGTGTCACGATAAAAAAATAATGCATCATCGTAGATTAGAAAGAATGCTTATTGTTGAAAAGATGTCGGATAAAATTTTATTTTAAAATAACTCGCTGCTTAATGAAGGTAAACAGAAACATGGATGTTGAGGAAATTTCTGGAAAGAGGAAGTGAAAGAAAATTGAACAATGGTTTTAAAAGTACAAATATGATTTATATTTAAAATATTTTTACAGAACAAAATTATTCACAAACATTTCAAGAAAATATTCGTCGAATAATTATTAAAATTTACGTTTTGATATAATTGTATGTACAATTTGTTCGAAATAAAGTGAAATTATTTCTAAAAATGTTATCTCAAAGTATACATCGAGAAATGTTAAATCTTTCAGTTGGGTACGTACATTACGTTCTATTTCCTTACTGTTACCTCTGATCGTGAGTTTCACGATACTGTTATTAATGCTACCGTTGACAGGAAGATTTAACTGTATTTCGTTAATTAAATATCGAGCACATTCGTTGACATTAGTTGAAATAAAATTTAGACGATTTAAATTAGCGTTCACACAATCAACTATATTTTCTACACCTTGAAAAGTCGTTCTCTGCATGACTATCGCAATGTTGTAAGTTTTACGTTTCTTCGCCTTCGGTCCGTTTTCGTTCGTATCCTCCACAGTCTCGGAAGAAAGATCTTCTTGCTCGTTTTCACGATATGTTATTAGTATGGCTCTAGCACCATATGCGGTAGTGAAATTTACAATTATCTTGTTAAAGATGATCGAGCTCAAATTAATTTTATCACCGTTTAAGTAGCTCGACATCGTTTTCATGTTTTCTTGAAATTTTTGCCACGATTCCATGTCGAAGCAAATCCCTACAGCTCCGTGAGATGTTAATTTAACAACAGGCAGAAAATCCAGTTCGACGTTGTCTTCCGTCATAAGACCCACTTGAATTTTCTTCGTGTAGGATGAATTCAATCCGTATGTTGTTGACAGCAACATACGTGGTTGTTGCTCGATTTTCTTAAGATTGTTCATGGTAGTTGCTACCGCGTAGAAAATCAAAGATATAATAATCAAAGACACGGAAAAATCGAAAAATCGAGAACTTTTTACTAACAAACTTTTTTACTAACGAACTTGAAAGTCCGGACGATGAAAGACGAGTGAGCGAAGATTTTCAAGAAAATTTATAAGAAGGAAGATAAAATAGAAAAGTGGTAGGGAGAAAATGTATGCGTAGATAAATAAAAATTATGAGGAAGGGATTTTTTAAACAATATAAATAATATAATTTTTAATGTGGAAGGGGAATTTTTTAAACAATAAAGCGATAGGGAGAAAATGCATGCGTAGTATAATAAAAATTATGTGGGAGGGGAATTTTTTAAACAATATAAACGATATAATTATTAATGTGGAAGGGAAATTTTTTAAACAATATAAATGATATAATTTTAAATCTGACTTCAGAGAAAATATAAAATTCCTATCGCTATCGAGAAAAGATACTTGAAAATTCCTCATCTTGATTTCTATAAACTTTTTGTAACTAAGTAAATAACGTCCTAGATTAAATATTTTTTGTATCTAAGTAAATATTACCATATATATATAAAACATGGGTAAAAATACACGGCTATGAGAAAAAAAGATAAAAAAAAGATAAAAAAAGATAAAATAAAATCGAGAAAAGATACCTGAAAATTCCTCATCTTGATTTCTATAAACTTTTCGTAATTAAGTAAATATCGCCCTAGATTAAATATTTTCTGTATCTAAGTAAAGATTACATATATATATATATATATATATATATATAAAACATGGGTAAGAATACACGTCTATGAGAAAAAAGATAAAAAAGATAAAATAAATCGAAAAAGTTACCTGAAAATCCCCCATTTTGATTTCCATAAACGTATAAATACGGCTCTCGGAGTTAAGTTAGCTAGCTACATTTTTGAATTTCGTCTCTCGCGTACTCACGTATTCGACGCAAGTGTACTATTAAATTTCAAATAATGAGTTTGAAAAAAGTAATTGAAATTTGTCTATCACTAGCGCAGAGTTTATGCGGAAAAAATTTTTCCAAGTATATATATGAATTAACATGCGCGAGTGAAGACAAATGCTTCAATATTTTTGGAAAATTCGCGGGGGAATGTCCCAACGCTGTGCTAGCGGTATTATTCCGACTAGGACATTTTAGTGTTTTTCGCGAATTAGTGATTATCGCGGGTGAGGTGATCGAGTCGCGATACTATTTTGGTGGTGAGAAAGAAAACGACGCAGCAGGTCACATAGAATATCTCCTCCTACATTTTCATCGAGTTCTCCGGGGAGAAGATAATAATGGTAAGTTTTTATTTTTTTTTTACACTTAATTATAAATAAAAATTAATTAAAACTACCCCAATTATTTATTTAAATCGCTAAAACTTTAGCTTTCGTACGCCCTGTCGCACGCGTTACAGGAAACCGGTTGCGCGTACTAGAGAATCGCCCCGTATCACTTAGATTAAGGTTAAATAGAAGACGACGAGCGGATTCTTCGCCGGAGCCCGGACCTTCGCGTAAGTTTTTAACATCATAAATTATATCGCGCTGCTAGAAAACATTATATTAAACAGGAAATTTTTTAATAAAAATAATATACGTTCCAGGCCGTGCACGCATCGTGTTAACGCCGGAGCTGGAACACCCGGTTATTGATTTAGCCGAAAGTGATAACGACGTGGAAGAGGTGCGGGTTCGCGAAGTAAGTCCGTTCGATGAGGCGGCCATATTTACTCCGCTTGAAAGTAAGTAAGAAAAATACTACAGTGCTATATATCAACACAAAAGATTTTTTAATTATGTGAAATACTAATAATATATGACCGATGAATATTAGATGACGCGGCGAATGAAAACGTGGTCGTAGAG